GACTCGTTTCAGATGTAGCAAGTTTAAACTTGCAGTTGACTTGGGGAGATACACAAATGTCCCATACACTGAACGATTATGTAAATATTGTATAGAAAATGGTATATCTTTTATTGAAGATGAATTTCATGTTTTACTTGTATGTGAGCGTTATTCAGCCCTAAGAAATATGTATCTTAAACAGTATATCAAGTTTCAAACCGTAACATCTTTTACTGAAATTATTTCATCAGAAAACTTTGATGTTGTATATAGCACATGTTTATATCTATATAAAGTCCAACGGCTAAGAGCAACTTAAATCGACCACCTCCTTGGCATGCGTAGTTCATGCAATCAACCAGTGTCTGTATTATGGGCCTATGGCCTTCTTACTGAATAAACTGTCTGTCTGTCTGGCTGTATTGACGGTAGCATTATTTATGTTACATGGACTAATCATTACAATCATCAGACGGTCCCTTGTCTGCATTTATTGACGGTATCATTATTTATGTTACATGGACCAATCATTACAATCATCAAACGGCCCCTTGTCAGCATGTATTGACGGTAGCATTATTTATGTTACATGGACTAATCATTACAATCATCAGACGGTCCCTTGTCTGCAGCGTGAGAGTGTACATTGTCCAGCTGTAAAGTGATGTGACGTCCATGGGAAGGAACGGAAGGACGTGAGGACGGATAACTTCGTCACGGTAACGTGCACCTGTCAAATTGCCATTGATGACCACTAACGGGATCCTGTTATGTGCAGTGATGCCATCCCTAACCAATACGCTCCCACCACCGAATGCAGAACGTTGAACGACACAGTCAAGATGATACCTGGATTTACCTGTGACGTGAACGAACCTCCAGTTCTGAAACCTGGACCTCAGGGGCAAAATTGGACGTCGTGGTCGGATGTAATGCTGCGGTAATCGATTCTTTACAGTCCCTTCGCTAATCGGACATACCAAGAACTAATAAAAGCGACATAAAACATTTCAATAATATTAAGAAATCTCTACCAAAAGCAGAGTTCATTTACGATTCCTACACGTGTTTTTAGCACGTGTTTATGAATCACTACCAAATAGTGATGATACCAGGTGTTCGCGAAAAGATGAAAATAACTTGCCACGCCGGTGACGCCCTTCACAAGCAGATGCAAAGGCAAAACAATTGTTCGCCTGAAAAACTACAAAAATCATACAAGTTAAAATAGGAAATGGCATCGGAAATCATTTTGTTCCTGATGCGTCATAATGGGAAATTTCCACATGTCCACTATAAAAATTTCGAAAGTTTTGCTTGAGGCCTTGAATGTTATAACCTTAATCACACAAGTTGGCTGTTTGACCATGATTGAACGATATCAGCTCACACTTAAAGCTTACGTTAAACTTCTTGGCCAAATTCCCTTATTTTGATTTTGCCAATCCGAACAGAAATTCCGATTCATATGCGTAAAGGAACAGATCAGCAAGAAGGGTGGCAAAATGACAAAAGAAATGTGTTCGAACATCCAACATCCTAATGATAATGATTATGTACTCATCGCCAAAAGAAACGCGAACCATTGAAACATACAAAAGTATGTACGTTAGACCTCGGACAATAAACTGTATGAAGTGTTTGTGATACGAGTCTATCTAAGGCGTTATTCAAGCATTTTAGATTATGTCTTGTGCAGGACGCTTAACATTCCTTTTTATGAAAGACACGTGCTCGACGTATAAAGCATTAAAACTAAATCGGACAATTGAATTAAAAAGTATAGGACATAGATTTAATCTATTTGTCAATACTTGACTCATATTTTCCATTTTATCGTAAACTCCATAATTCATTTACGTTGGTATGTTTGCTTCCATGGCAACTTATTCAGTGAGTATTTGTCGCATTCAAACAATTATCGGAAGTCTATCAGACTAGTTTCCATGGAAACTCAGTCAGACCAATGCATGCACGATGAAAACAATTTGGAAAGCAGCATGAAAATACATGGTGTTATAAATACGCATGTGTGAAAATGGAACTGACGACGGATGAAAGAAGTCCAAGTGAAAGGCGTAACAACCAACAAGAGACCGACGATCATGACTCGTGCTTTATCTACACCGTTGAACGATTAAACATATTCTTGTTGGTAATAGTGTGTCGTTTGGATGGACCATATGCTTGTACAGTACGCTTTCTGTGCTGTCATTGTCGACATTCTGATCTGTGCTAGAACATGTAGGATACAGCATTATGCTGGAGTATCACCTATCTGGGTTACATCAATTTATATGAATTATTTTATGCGTGTGCAACATTCAAAACCATGTTTCTCGCCGCTCGGCCCTTAATTCGTGCCGAAAAGTCATTGCATGTTCAATAAAAAGCGACTATACTTGTCGTAAGAGGCGACTAACGGGATCGGGTGGTCAGGCTCACTGACTTGGTTGATGCATGCCTTCGTATCCCAACTGCGTGGATCGATGCTCATGATGTTAATCTCTGGATTGTCTGGTCCAGACTCGATTATTTACAGACCGCCGTCATATAGCTTGAATATTGCTGATGCTGATCAAAAGATGAATGTATTTTTAAGTAAACAGGAAGCACAACATATCTTCACATTTACTACAGCGGGGACCGAATACAAAACTTGTAAAACATAACGCGATTCGACATCAAATGCCATGTTCAGTAAACTTGATCGGTGATTCAGGAATCAGTAATGCTAATACTATAGGATCTTGTCATATAACAGGAATTCGTAATGCTAAATCTATAGAATTTATCTCATAATGGGAATGCGTAATGTTAGTTATATAGAATCCTATCTTATAATAGAAATACGTAATGGTTGTTCTATAGGATCTTGTCATATAATTAATAGGAATGCGTGATGCTAGTTCAAAAGAATATCATATTATAATAGAAATGCGTAATGTTAGTCGTATAGGATCCTATGTTATAATAGAAATACGTAATGCTTGTTCTGTAGGAGCTTGTCATATAATAGGAATGCGTAATGCTAAGTCTATAGGATTTTATCTCATAATGGGAATGCGTAATGTTAGTTATATAGGATCCTATCTTATAATAGAAATACGTAATGCTTGTTTTATAGGATCTTGTCATATAATTAATAGGAATGCGTGATGCTAGTTCTATAGAATATTATGATATAATAGAAATGCGTAATGTTAGTTATATAGGATCCTATGTTATAATAGAAATACGTAATGCTTGTTCTGTAGGAGCTTGTCATATAATAGGAATGCGTAATGCTCGTTCTATAGGATTTTATCTCATAATGGGAATGCGTAATGTTAGTTATATAGGATCCTATCTTATAATAGAAATACGTAATGCTTGTTCTATAGGATCTTGTCATATATTTAATAGGAATGCGTGATTCTAGTTCTATAGAATATTATGATATAATAGAAATGCGTAATGTTAGTTATATAGGATCCTATCTTATAATAGGAATACGTAATGCTCGTTCTATAAGATCTTGTCATATAATAGGAATGCGTAATTCTAAATCTATAGGATTTTATCTCATAATGGGAATGCGTAATGTTAGTTATATAGGATCCTATCTTATAATAGAAATACGTAATGCTTGTTCTATAGGATCTTGTCATATATTTAATAGGAATGCGTGATTCTAGTTCTATAGAATATTATGATATAATAGAAATGCGTAATGTTAGTTATATAGGATCCTATCTTATAATAGAAATACGTAATGCTTGTTCTATAGGATCTTGTCATATATTTAATAGGAATGCGTGATTCTAGTTCTATAGAATATTATGATATAATAGAAATGCGTAATGTTAGTTATATAGGATCCTATCTTATAATAGAAATACGTAATGCTCGTTCTATAGGATCTTGTCATATAATAGGAATGCGTAATGCTAAATCTATAGGATTTTATCTCATAATGGGATTGCGTAATGTTAGTTCTGCAGGATCTTGTCATATAATATTAATGTTCAATGCTGGTTCTGTACGGTCTTGTTTTATGATAGGAATGCGTAAAAATGGTTCTCTAAGAACTTATAATGGGAATAGGTAATGCTAATTCTATATGATGTTGTTATATAACAGGAATGCATGGTTCCAGTTCTATAATATCTTATCTCGAAGTAGGAAGGTGTAATGCTAGTTCTATACGATCTTATCTTACAATGGGAATCCGTTATGCCGGTTCTGTACGATCTTATCTTGTAATAGGAATGCATAATGCTGGTTCAACATCATACTGATCTACAATAGGAATGCGTGATGCTAGTTCTATAGAATATTATGATATAATAGAAATGCGTAATGTTAGTTATATAGGATCCTATCTTATAATAGGAAAACGTAGTAATAGGAATGCATAATGCTGGTTCAACACCATATTGATCTACAATAGGAATGCGTGATGCCAGTTCTATAGGATCTTAGCTTATAACAGGAATGTGTATGTCAGGTTATGTAGGATCTTATCTTTTAATAGGAACATAATATGACGTTAGACAGTGCGCTGCTAATATCTGATACACATATTTCTCCGCCAGACACTGTCCCTTTGGAACTAAAGACACACATTTCTTCAATTGGTTTATTTATTTCGCTGTTTCATATTAAAATGAAATTAAAATTCACATGTATGTTTGCGATACATAATAGACATCCTTTGCGGTATGATTAACAGCAGGAAGATTATATTAAAGATAAAAGATTTATTTAGTAGAAACTGTGCATGTGTATATATGCTAACGTAAACATTTATAAGGCAAAAGGTATTTCATTAATCTAAAATTAAAAGGTTTTGGATGTTAATGTACTACACTGAGCACATATTGACGATGTAAACAATGAAATGGATAACTGAATGAATGAACTAGACAACAAAGACGACACATTCGTTGTGATTAATGAGAAGTGACATAAACTCGGCTACCTGTCACGATGTTAGCGTTTCCTGAGTCATCACGCATGCGTAGACAAACGGTCACATGACCCATAGGACATTCAGGTCGTATATGAGTGCAGCTCTTGGGTCGTCATCCTTCAGTTTACACAGTGTTTCCAAGTATGAAGTCTCACAGGGTTTTCGTAATAGTGATATTATTAGGTGCCTATAATGGTAAGTGTCTTTTCATATTTTCAGTTTCAAATGTAACACAACACAGTGTATCTGCGTTATTATCTTCATTCATCATCCAGAACACGATTTTCTAAAGAGACTAAAATGCAAATTGTGAATACGAGTGTGAGTTGAATGTATTGCAACAGGAAAGCTTTTTTGAAGTGACCACTTTTCATTTTTAGATGACAATTTTATAAAACTGATATCAGACAATGTCACGTCAATGTATTTGAATGGTATCTATGTAGTGAATCCCAAATACATACATTCATTGTTGTAATTATGTCAATTACACATAATCTTTTTTGATGTCATGTTTAGAACATTGTGCGCTTCAAACTCCCATTACACGTTTCTATTGCCTAAGAAATAAACAATAGTGGGCTGTTTTTTGGTTTACGAGTGTGCCTGTCGCTCAAAGATGAGTGACGGTCATTGTTATGTAACAACCTGTTTCTTGAAAGGAAACATTATCATAACTGGCACGATAGTCTAACGTTTGCTTGAGACTAATAATCTTCAAAATGTATATTTTAAATTAGTAGTTACTTTGTAGGTTGATAGTATGTGTAATACACTTTATATTTTTATTTGTATAAAAGTTAAAAACTTTAGAACTTTACAGTGTGTAAAGAACTTATCTATATTGTCGTTATGCCAAGTATTGTCATGAATGTAGGTAGCAATATTTGTTTTGTAAATAAGATCGTGAAGTTATGACACATACAAATACCGCCTGGACAGTGAGTGTCGTGCAAACGTCGGACATATGCATAAAAATCTTTAACGAAGAAGGTCTCCCCGTGTTAGGTACAATACCCTAGTCTTCCCCGTGATAGACATGTCCTGTCACTGTCATGTCTGTTTCACAAATATATCACTCATGACTGACATATATCATTTCAATTTCACATTTACCTTTTGCAATCGCCTTCAGTTCCTGCTTGGTGACCCCAGCCGCATTACGGGTTTCCCTTAAAGAGACGTTTATAGTAAAACGTGTTTTGAGGTGGCGTTCACAGTCACGAATTGTCGATTACAGATAAAACCGATCCGCACGGAGGATGTGTACACCAAATTACAGTTTCTCATGGCGATGAAGAAATTATATTATTTGAAATAGATATGTTTGTAATCAACAATAGTGATTTATGTACATCTTAAAGATAAGTATACCTGTAACTTGTATTGTGAGCTATTAGTATGATATGTATGTACGTATAATCGCCCATCCTATCTTCCATGTATCATTCATTGGCATTCACCTGAACTCGATTGGGGTACAAAAGAAGTTCAATACCAGGCAATGGCCTATTTTTTAATTTGTTTGGTTCTTATGAACGCATCATTCAGTGATATTTTCCCCTTGTTAATTCCTGCAGTCAAGGAATATCCAAACTCACACAACCGTCAGGTAATTAAAAAGACATTAAGTTCATTGCAGTTTTAATACGATCGCTACCGAGTGACATGAGGCTCCATCCCAACATTCCGCATTGTTTCTTGGGCAACTATAACAACGCATTTCAACCAATGGCGAGATGGTGCTTAATGTCAAAGCCACCCCATGTTGTTTTGATTATGCTAACGTATGACTTTGAGAATCAACGTAGATCAACGACGTCAATAATGTCCCTGGTCGTTTACTGTTTGCATCGTAATTGCTACCTTATGTCATATTACCTTAAGTCGTAACGTTACGTTACGTTACAAGGTTTGGCTTTACAGCGTCGCCATTAACTGTGTCTTATAGTAATATGACTCTAAGGGCTTCATTTGACTGGATTTTGAATGGAAATAAGCGACAATTTAAACGTAATAAAGACGGTTATGCATTTAAATCCAGATACACATATTTAACCTTTTGAATTGGAGAAAGCAGTGGACCGTCGAAAGTTATATAAGGAAATTATTTTTCATATAATGTATAATATATGTATACTAACATTCCATCTTTTGATTTTCGAAATAATAATTTTTTTGGGACAGTATTTATTTACAAATGCATAATTTCTACTTTTTTCTAGCCCCATTATTTATCCCAAAACGGCCAGAGTATACACAGTAACCGTTGATCATATTTCAGTCAGCCGTTAAGCCTATACATTTTGAGCATCAAATTATTTTGTTTGTGAGAAATCTCTATTATCATGTTTTATTTCAAAGCACGTGAACGCCTGCATACCAAACATGGTTGACACGGGACACAGTGATTAATTATCTGTCAATCACACATTCTCCTCGATTGAACTCGTGATAGATGTTCATTACGTGGCCATGCTTCAAGGAACGCTCCATGACATGTTTACAACTAATCCGATATAGACATCTTTAGGGTGTTGTATGTTTTCATCGCAGTCATCAACTGCGAGAAAAATTGATAGAATAACTATGTCAATGACTGAAGGTCAATTCGCCAAACTAAACCTGTATCGTGCTATTTTCAGATTACGTACAATGAAAATAGGTTTATGTTATTTATTATTCTTAAAGAATATTAATACAAGTATAATGACTGACAAATTCCCATTTAGAAGCTGTAGCATCAAAGAAAATATTGAGTTAAACTTCTTTAATCTTTAAGGTGAGGTGAAGTGAAATGGGGTTTAACGTCGCATCCAAGATTATTGCACTTATACAGCGACGTGCATGTACGTGTGTGTGTTTGTGTGGCTGCTTCTACCAGTGCGGACTGATGCCGATTTATAGTGCTAGCTCACTGAGATACCATGCCGCAGTTTAACATGAATACCCCACTCAGACACATTATACTGACTCCGAGTCGACCAGTCCTTGTTTTAGCCCCTTTTAACGTCTTTTGGTATTACGCGGCCGGGGATCGAAACCCGGACCTTCCGCTCTCCGGGCGGATTCTCTACCACTAGACCACGGAGGTGGTCTTTAATCTTTAATCTTTGGTAGAGATGCTGGTAATCAACTACTGGGTAGGACATGGTTATACAGCTAATATTACACGTACCGAGAGATTACATATATGATTAATAACATTGCTTAGTATGTTATTGATTGGGCGATGTTATATGTAGCTAGGTGTACAGCTACTAATACAACTGATTATGTTGTCCGCCATGTCCTAAGAACTGTCACTCGTCTTATCCTGAAAAAACAAGCGTTCTTGGGTTGTCACAAATGCTTGAGATATAAGGGTTGCTTGTGTCCATCATGGCAGTGGGGGCACGGGTGGCCCAGTCGTCTAAGGCGCCTCGATTCGCTGTGCAGAGTTTCGTCCCTTGGGCACGCCAGAAACCTATGATTGAGGGTTCGAATCCCGGTTCGCCCCGATTATGTTTCTAGGTTTGTCTGCACCATACTCGTGCTTGTGGGTTTCACCGTAGTGGTAAACGTCTGAGTCCTGCATCACTTCGGGCTTTCCTCCCACATTAAGCTGACACGCCGTGATTTAACTGGAATAATGTTAAAAGCGGCGTTAAATCCAACTCACTCACTCACTCATCGTGGCAGAAGGGACTTATCGCCTTCACGGCTAATGACAAAAAGAACAAATTTCGAAGATTTTATTTAGGTACCAAAGGAAACATTTTCATGTCAAATTTGGTGACTAGAGTAGACGAGCACAATAAATTATGATATTTATGCTCGATCTTGTTTGTATAAGTATACATCGAAACGTATGGACGGTTATGTAGAATTCAGATAGTTGAACGATTTTGCAAAGTCAGTGTGCTACCTGAGATAAAAAACAGCATCACGCTTCAAAATTTCAAAAATTAGAATAAACAGCTGATACGCTGTTCTTTGTCTATGACCATCATGGCCTGTCATTTATGACAGGCGTGATTGACGTTTCCCATGGCAACCTAAAACGTCGTAACCTCCAATGCGTTGAGGAGAACAATGACTTCGGTTAGTGAGCCATATCCCCGGGGTGGGGCTGATTGTCCTGAGGGTGGAGGTATTGAGAAAGACGATATATATTAAAGAAAATATTGTTTGTCAAAAGGGGAAAATTAAAACTACCTGAAGCTAAGACAAAACATGTATTATTCTGTAGGGATTTGGCGTAATTTTAGGGTGGTTTTGTTGTTCATACAATTGGTCATAGATGACGTCTTTCATGTCGCCATTGCGTAATTGAACATAACCTACTGCTAAGAGTTATGGCCATGTGTATGAGGTTCCCTACGTCGGTGTGGAAACACTGAGGAATACCCCTTGGGCGTGTATGTAGATCAGGCGGATAATGACTGTATTTCCGTGACTGAGGTAATTAGGTAATTAGCGTACGGTGTCATGTGCCATGGTTGATTCATAGTTGTACATTTCACGGTGAAATCGACATTGATTGACTCAGTGATGACAACATTGCACTGATCAGTTAATTACCGCTGCTCCATTTGTATGTTTCGTTGCTCATACTTTGTACTATTCAATTCTTGAAGGGGATGCTCTCTGGGATGGTTTTTGTTTTAAAAAATCGAAACAGATTCCCTCTTTTTTTGGTCACACCACATATGGCTCGCAATGACATGGAGATACAAGTGATTTTGTTTATGACTGAAATCAACACATACCTTTTAAATTTTAGCCCTCCACAGAAGTTAAGTTTAGAATTCAAAAATTAGATCCATTACTTAAATCTATCGGGGATCCGCCTATGAAGGACGTTTTGTGGATTTATTTTTTAGTTATATGTACCACAATGATCGTGAATATATTTTAAAATATTTCTCCTATACTCTGTCAAAATTTAAATAACTCATCATTAAAGACATCACGACACTGCGGCCGTGGAGAAAACAATATGTTCTTTAACGTGCCCAAGAAACTGTCATGTTTTGTGTAGGATGTTTATAGCGCATTCATTGTGTTGTCATGGAAACATAAAAGTACATGTCACATACTTATAAACAGGATGCTGACAAAGTATGGTTGTTTTTCGCAAGTAGCATGTACAATGACGGATATAGTTTTATCAGATGAAAAATTGAACTCAGTGTGATTAGTGTTGGTATTTGTAGTGTACGTGGACTGAGTGGATGTTTCTGCTGGTGGACTGTCGACCCCGAGTTTCATCATAAGCTCACTAGCATTAATCTATGTTCAGTCAACTACAAAAGAAAAGTTTGGGCCGAGACATTAAAACAGCCCCACACTGTATTGCTAAACGTATATAATAATTAAACGTTTTTCTGTACCTATAATCAGCAGAATCTCTACACTTGTACACAGAAGTCGTAATTCAAAATTATCATATCCTTTTTTCAACAAAATCAGTAAATGCATTATCGTTCACTTCATCGTCTTTTTCACACTGTTTCCGATTTTCACATTTAATGTTGGTCAAACACTTGTGATTAAAGATGCCCTAAAGTATTAAAATCTGTAAAGTTGCTTGGTTGACTCTACTTGCCCTTAAATATATCGCTTCTGTTATTTTTAACAAACTCAGTAATGCAGTATCGTGTCACTGGATTTTCTGTTTAATCTATCACTTGATTGTCTGGTTTGTTTTACAGGCCGCCGTCGCATGGCACGAGTACTGCTGTGCGGGGTCAAGCAATAAATACTTACTTTTTATGCAAATTGTGTGAATTGTGGGTGTTACCAGTAGGGCAGGACATTCTTACCATTTTCGTGAACACCTGGTGACTCATTCGTCACTACTCGCCCCTTTCCGTAACCTGCAAGAAGAGTCTTCCCCCTATCGATGAATGTTATGTGCGAAAATACGACAAACCAATCAGAATGCTGTAATCCACTTAATGGTCGCTAGTCGTGTGACTAGTACACTATTTTACATTGTTGAGGTGACCTATTGTGAATCGGGTGGTCAAAATTGGAATAAATGTTGCTTTCCCAGCGGGTAATATAACAGATTGTGCGTCATCGTGTAGTGATGCTACAATTGAGTTGTAATACACACCTCTGCTCTCGTGCGATTACTACACTACGCTTTAAAACTACATTCAGTCACTCACCCTACTTATGATTATGCATATGATTGTTATCCTCAGTTATAGCCGATGACCACGACCATGACCACCAGCAGGCCAAACCAGACGACCCACAATCCCCTAAGGAAGATGGCGACAACACCGGAAGTGACAATGGAAATGGAAAAGATGGGTCCTGGAATATCCCCGGAGGCAATTTCCCCGAAGGATCCGAACTTACAGGGAACGGCCTGGACAGGTTAACTGACAGGTTTGAGGAAATGTTCGACGGGCCCAACGGCCAACAGGGATCCGAATCAGCTGGGATTAAAAACATGTTCAGGAACCTTGGTCAAAAGCTGGCCAACTTGAGACGATCCCAGAACGCTAATCCGAGAGGTAGATACTGATGCTGCTTTGATAACCTTTTTCTACTGAAGCTATAACTACTTATGCAGCTAGTTCTTCTTCTTCTACTACTACTACTACTACTACTACTACTACTACTACTACTACTACTACTACTACTGCTACTACTACTTCTACTACTACTACTACTACTACTACTACTACTACTAGGGGCGGTCGGGTAGCCTAGTGGTTAAAGCGTTCGCTCGTCACGCCGAAGACCCTGGTTCGATTCCCGACATGGGTACAATGTGTGAAGCCCATTTCTGGTGTCCCCCGCCGTGATATTGCTGGAATATTGCTAAAAGCGGCGTAAAACCATACTCACACACTCACTCACTACTACTACTACTACTGCAACTACTACTTTTGTTTGTTTGTTTGTTTGTTCAGCAATATTCCAGCTATATGACGGCGGTCTGTAAATAATCATGTCTGAACCAGACAATCCAGTGAGTGACATCATGAGCATCGATCCACGCAATTGGAATACGATGACATGCATCAACCAAGTCAGCGAGCCTGGATTGTCTGGTCCAGACTAAATTATTTACAGACCGCCGTCATATAGCTGGAATATTTATCTATCTATCTATCTATCTATCTATCTATCTATCTATCTATCTTACTATCCTCTGAACCCCAGTCGTTTCAAGCTATACAATGTGCTGTGCAGAGTTACGTCCCTTAGACATGCCAGAAACCTATGAAGACGAACCTACCTTGATTATGTCTGGGCTTTAATTACCAATCCGGGCTCGTGCGTTTTACTAAATTGGTATACGTCTACGACCTGCATCACTTCAGATTTTCCTCTCACATCGAGCCGTGAAATAACTTGAATCCTGTTCGTTAAACCCAACAATCTCACTCACCAAGTTATAATTTTCAGGTCAAGGTGACCCTGACCCTCTTCCCCAACCCTTCGCCAGCAACCCGTGTTTCCAGAGTCAGGAGAAGATTCAGGAATTCTCCGACGAAATGTCGGACCTTTTACCAGACGCAGATATTACAGAGAACGTTGATACGGGAGAAGATTTCATGGAGGGCCCGGATGAAGAACCCAGTGAAATTATAGAGAAGATGTCGGTGAGAAGTTCAAATCAATTCTCAAACTTTAAACCCTGTTTATACAAACACTTGCGTGGACTCTAAAACTTGCCTCACGCCTTTAACTTGTCGTCAGAAAAAACAACCTATTTATGTAAAAACATAAAAATATCAGGTCTTTGAAAGACATTTAGAAGTGATACACATAAGGAAGAGAATGTATTGATTTCAACTTCTTTATTATGAGGAACACAACGTTTCGGAATACATGCTTACTCCTTCATCATGTGAAACGTGTTCCTCACAATAAAGAAGTTGACATCCATAAATTCTCTTTCATAAAAATATCCGATGTATTTACTTACCAAACTACTTGGTGCATAACGAAGGATCGACACAAATATTTGCATACAGTTAAGCACATTTTTTGATGACTTAATATTAATATCTCCATCTGTAAGAATACATTTATCCCTTGAATGCAGCCCCATTGATATTATTGATACTGCCATTCATGCCCATGAACATTATCGTAATATGAAGTTCCAGGCTAACTAGATGTACCAAACATTAGATTACCATGAAGTGAGGTGAGGTGAGGTGAGGTGAGGTGAGGTGAGGTGAGGTGAGGTGAAATTGGGTTTAACGTCGCGTCCAAGATTATTGCACTGATATAGCGACGTGTGTGGCTGCTTGTACTAGTCCGGACTGATGCCGATTTATAATGCTAGCACACTGAGATACCTTGCTGAGGTTTAACATGAATACCCCACTCATACACAGTATCCTGACTCCGAGCCGACCAGTCCTTGTTTAGCCCCTTTATGCCGAACGCCAGACAGGGTATCAACAAGTACCATTTTTAACGTGTTTTGGTATGACGCGGCCGGGGATCGAACCCCTGACCTTCCGCTCTCCGGGCGGACGCTCTACCACTAGACCACGGAGGCGGTCTACCATGAAGTGACCATTCAAGAAAAGGAATTGAGGACTGAAACTCCATCTCTGGGATTTCATGAATATATGTTTGCATCTTCCGCTGTGAACTCATGAATAGAGATATTTACATGAATTGACAGCATAAGTAGTGATTGAATATGGTTTTACACCGCTTTTAGCAATATTCCAGCAATATCACGGCGGGGGACACCAGAAATGGGTTTCAAACAATGTACCCATGTCGGGAATCGAACCCGGGTCTTCGGCGTAATGAGCGAACGCTTTAACCACTAGGCTACCCGACCGCCCCTTCACACAGCAGAAGTAACTATGTCCGTATTCTAAGTGATCCAGAACTATGTGTTATCCTTTGTGCAGGACTTCACCCTGGAGTGTTTCGCCCCTATGCTGGATAACCACACCAAACACCAGATGTGTCGTATGTTCTCCAAGAAGTCTCTCCGAAGCTTCCAAAAGTTGATGAGTGTTGGAATGGACTGTGTGGAGGCCCTGGATGACATCAACAATGATGGCCGGCATGACGACGATGACGATGACGATGACGATGTAAGTTTCCTTAAACTTTTATCTGGACGTTTGGTTTACTTGCCGACGTCGCATGGCAGACGTTTTGCTATGCGGTGTCAGGAAGCCCAACACATACTTGTTTATGTTTGTTTGTGTTAGTTGCGTGCGCTTTTTTGCCTTTTTCGTCCAAAGGAATCCGTTTCGTCGGATAATCGAGAATTGTTATTCTCTGGCGTTGACGTTTGGTATTTAAACTGAGGGGCAAAAGGAAGTATACCAAGTTTGTAATTGAAAATTGAAAGAAATCTTGTTAATTTTGATTACGTATATTTAACTCTCACTCATTCCTGCAACTCTTTTTAAGTAATCTGTGGCTTGCTAATTTGGAGTAAAAATAAATTGGTACAATGAAGATAGATATCAAAGAATCCTTTCAGCAGTTGTGTATTATTTTTTAAAGTTTTAAATCAAATTATGTTTTTAATAATAGAAGTCATTTTTGAAAGCTAACTTAGCACCAGTAACATTCATTTTTTTATTAAGATACAACTGACTTAAGATATTTTCAGTTGAAAATCAAACATATGATCAAATCAACTGAGAGGTATAGTTACTTTTTCTGCTCAGCTTATATCGCGCTTCCTCACTCCCAAGTACGGCTATTACTGTCCAGGTTTACTGTAAATAGGCTACTTATTCATCACGAATATACGAGGGGCGTTCAATAAGTTTTGCAACTTCAATACAAGACCAAGTCGCAGAATATCTTTTGCACTTTTATTTTTCAATATAATCTCCATTCACCTCCATACACTTATTCCATTTGTCCTTCAAACTTTTAATACCACTTTTATAGAAATCCGCAGATTGGCCCTCTAACCACGCCTCTGTGTCCTCGTCATCCTGGAAGCGTCTTCCACGTAGGGCAGATTTCATTTGCCGGAACAGGAAATAGTCACTGGGGGCTAAGTCTGGGCTGTAAGTTAAATCACCCACCCTACAGCCCAGACTTAGCCCCCTCATCGCTTCAGACAAATAATGTAACTGAATGGTCATATAATGTCATATAAATGGAATTCCTTAGTGACGAGAGTATTATTGTTTTATTTTGAAAGGTCCAGAATATAGGTTTGTTTTCTCTTTCTTAGGACGACCTTGATCTTCCACATCAGATGTTACTGATGCAGCACATGAAGAAGCGTCCATTTGCCCAGTGGTCAAAAACTGACATTGACCGTGCTTTCAAACTGGCACCGGATACTTTCGACGATGACGTCATTGAGGGTCTGTCGGATAACGTCTTTGAGTCCAGGTACGTAATATATAACTGATACCTCAGAGCTATTCTCATGAAATGACAAACTGGTTTTCTTTGCATCTTGTGTTATGCCGGTGTATTCCTCTAAACCATCCAACAAAAACAGATTACCAGTATAAGAATCCTTAAAACACAGGTCTATATATCCCGTTCTGCGCAATAATCCTACTCTAGTATTACACTACCAATTAACATACTGACATTTTCTAAATAATCTTGAAATCTTCTTCTAATTTAGGAAAGGTATATGCAATGAATTAATATTACAACTCCATTGCTGCACATAGCAAATTTGATATGGCAGAGAAGTTGAATGGGGTCGAATGTATCGATGTTTATCTTTCTGGGAAGATTTTAAGCGAATAGCTATTGGTTTGCGTGTACAGATCTACATTGCTAACGTGCTCTGTCAGATTAATACCTGATCTTCAGATCGTCGTTCCATAGAATCAAACATGTAAACTGCCGGACAAAAGAAAGTACACTCATATTTGATGTTGGCTAAAAACAGAAATTGTTGTTCGACTGTGTGAACCTGTATTGGGCAAGGGTTGCATAGTTGTGTTTTGAACCTTAACTTTGTAGTGTTTCGGCAACTGATAACGTTTGCAATTTTTTGTGTCAAATCCAATTTTGAAGTGTATACTTTCATTTGCCCGGCTGTGTAGCATTATGGCATTGCTCGCAAGTTTGATTCGTTTCAAAATTCAACTTTTATTGTGTATATCACTTGCAGTTGATTACCCAATTACACACAGACAATGCCTCAGTTTGACACAAGTATCCAATTACAACATCAAGACATGGACCGAAAATGGACACCAGATCACGAAGCAGAGTCCTCCTTTAACGGCGCACTCTGCTCAGAAGTCAGATGTCCATTTTCATAACTCTATATTTTGTTACTGATACAATGTGTCAAACTGCCTCTATGTAATCATTTACTGCTAGATTAATATACATCATAGGATTTGAACTAGCATACATTAAGAGCGGTGTTTGAGGGACTGCCAATTTGCCGGAGCCTAGTCCTCCGGTACTGATAGGTGTTTGACACATGTTACAAGTAATTATTTTTTAACCACGTTACATGTTGATACTCGCAAAAACTGCAACAATTGTTTCTGAATCTATGCGAGTTATTCCATGTCCAGTTCAATAAATATTTTGAAATGACAACTAATCAACTGTTACATTGATTTCCAGCCTTCAAGACCTTGGGCGCTTGGTCATGCGGAATAAAGGAAGTCCGGCCATGCAGGGTGCGCTGAGGCAGAGGATAGCAAAATGGAGGGTGCCAAGTCGCATGAGCTCAGCAGACATTGCTCGAGTAGGTGCCGGCCTGGCTGCCTTTGACCCGGAGGACCTCGATGACATCAAGCCTGAAAATGTAATCTCCTTTATGTTTTCTAGTATTTAGCTTCTTTCACGTTACTTGCTTCAATGTATTTCTGGCTATATCAACATATTTTTGAAGTATCGATTAGATTTTTTGTAAGAGACGGACTATTTTTTCGGTTGTATATTTTCCTCTGAAAGGATGGACAATAATGTTTTTCACAAATCATTTTGGGACGTCCACCATCTCCAAGTCAAAACCTCTTAAAAAAGCATTAATTGTGGTGTTGCGGATGTTTCAGACCCAGTTGCCTCGCTATCTCACTGAAAGGGATGTTACGGCTGTTTCAGCCCCAGTTGCCTCCATATCTCACTGATAGGGTGTTGCGGATGTTTCAGCCCCAGTTGCCTCCATATCTCACTGACAGAGATGGTACGGCTGTTTCAGCCCCAATTGACTTCTATTTCACTGATAGGGATGTTACGGGTGTTTCAGCCCCAGTTGCCTTCGTATCTCACTGGTAGGGATGTTACGGGTGTTTCAGCCCAGTTGCCTCCAGATGTGATTGCTTGTGATGTTACGAATGTTTCAGTCGCATTTTACTTTTCTAGCTCGCTGAAGCTAACTTGGATGATGTTGACCTTGATATTGATGACGATGATCCAAGGAGTCTGACTATTGGCCGTTTGATGATGAAAGGAATTCAGAAACACCCATCAGAATACACAAGGGTCGACATCAGAAGGTAAGCCAAGGCTCTAAGTGGTACACTCTGGATAACATGTGCTCTTTTTCTGTTTTCAAACATAGTGAGTGATTTGTGTTTTACGTCTCTTAAAGCAATAGTCAAGCGATATCCGGGATTTTAATCGAGTACAGATTATGATTAAAAAAACAACTACATTTTAAAGCCTAATATAGAAAATACTTTATCCAAAGGGGGCGTCGGGGTAGCCTAGTGGTAAAAGCGTTTGGCTCATCACGCCGAAGACCCGGGTTCGAATCCTCACATGTCCCCCACCGTGATATTGCTGGAGTATTGCTAAAAGCGGCGTAAAACCATACTCACTTTATCCAAAGATGATGTACACCAGCATTATAGTTCATAGGATTGGACTTGACGAAAGGGATATGTGTGCCAAAACAGGCTGCAGTTACCGAGTTTACATCCTATCCTATTAAAGTCTCAGAGAGTTTGCATGATTTAAATGAATGTATTTTCCAGAATGCTTCCATTCATGAAGAGTGACCAAAACATGGTCCGTGGTCTGGACTCCGGCGCCCTCCTGCTAGCTCTGCCGGACGTGTCCAAACTTAAATTCGAGTACGACGAGGTGAGCCACATGAGTGAGTGAGTGAGTGCGTGAATGAGTGCGTGAATGCGTGCGTGAATGAATGAATGAATATGACGTCGCATTAGCATTATCTCAACCACATAGTGACGAGAACATGTTCAGGAATTAAAATGCATGCTATCAAATATAATAGTTATATACAGGTGAGCTACACGGGCTATGTCAATAATCTGATATCGTTCACTGATTGGTCAACTGGCCAATTATTTTGAACTCTTTAGTCTTTTAGGAATGGCAGCAATATCAAGCAATAAAACAGTGGTTAACACCATAACTAGTTGCAAGATATATATGTTCGTTTGTTTGTTGTGGGAATCTCACTCGATTCAGCCCATACATATTTAAATAATTAAGCGCCTTCATTTAACGAGTTTAACACTTTAACTGTTGCTTGACTGATGACATTTTAATACTATCTATGCCGCCGATTTTGATAGAAAGACAGTCACACACATAGTCGTACGGGATGTTCCAGGCTCATCCGATCTGCAGGAAGCTCCGCGAGTTGCCGGACTGGGATGAAGATCGCGACATCACCCAGGAGAAACTGCTGAAGCTGGGTCCTATCATGGCTGGGTGTGGAAGAGACTTCTTCGATGATCTCCCTTCGACAGTTATAGACGGGGCGCTGACTGCCATCAAGGATATCGACTTCGATGACACAGAGGTACGAGCCACTGGCTTTTTATAGTTATATCAAGGCGTGTCAGCAAGGTGTGGGAGGAGAGCCCGAAGTGATGCAGGTCTCAAACGTTTACCACTTTGGTTAACCCCACGAGCACGGGTATGGTGCTGACACACCCCTAGAAACAAAATGAGGTCACCATGTCAGGGTCACCCATGTCTCTCTAAATCAGTGTTAACCTGCTCTGAATCAGAAATACTACTAATTAATCATTTAAAAAAAAACTAAACATTGAAATGTTCTTATGATAGACATACAGAGTATGACAGATTTTGATTTCTTTTTCCGCAGGCTGGAGATCTTCTTGGAAAACTGAGTATTCCCGAGGTTGGTAGTTTCAAAATAAATTAATTGAATGTAAATGAGTATTGAATAATAATATCATATATTTTTGTAATATTTCAAACTTATCATAATTATGTCGGAATGAAGCGTAATTGTAACAATTATCATTTTAAACTGTCTACATTAATTGTTACAGTTCAAAGACTTCACGTCGGCCCACTTCAGGCAGATTGGCAAGCTTGCCAAGGCAATGAGAGCCGACGACATTGATGACTTACCCGACAGCGTTGTTGCCGAGACTCTGGATGACCTTGACGACGTCGACATGGACGACTGGAAACGGAAGATGTTCATCATAAAGGTAGGCCAAATATTATCACTGTGCAGTTGTGTAAAGTTATAAACGTATTAAATCACGATAGTCATGCATCACTACAATTAGCCTGGGGAATAATTGTCTGGATAAGGGACCAATCACTTAAAACCGAGAAGGGAGTTTTTGAAAAATATTATTACGAGAAAATGCTGGAAGGACATTATTTGGCCTCATAACCCCACCGTCATTGCTGTATGTCCTAAGTAGTATGTCGTGAGGGTTTCTCCAAGATATATTTGGTTCCCCCATTCAATAAATAATAAAATTATAGGTCTTGAAAAAGTGCCCGAAAAAATACTTTGTCTCCAGCAGAAATCACACGTTTTTACAAATTCACTATTTCCAATTTCGATTTTGCATTTTGCCATGTTAACATTTTATTTTTCCACTTCAGGCAATGGCCACCAACAAGAACAAGCTCCCTATCAAACTCCTACTTCTTCCTCATTTCGCTGAAGCCCTCAGCATGGACGACATTGAAACAGCCGACGTACAAGACATCAAAATGCACCTGGCCGGCGCCGGCAACATCAAATGGAGAAGAAGCTTGGTTGGTTCCTACATTATACTTTTGCATCATCAATGAATAATGACATCAAAGCGATTTTAGTAAAGAACGATATATCCTTGTTAAGGCACAACTGGGTCTCGTCTAAGAACGCGATCTTGGCACTGTCGTAGTTCCGTGACAACATATGAGATTTACAATCATCTTAGTGCGAAGGACGGACCCTGATCCCCGTTTCTCAAAAAACATCTTAGCGATCGTAACTTCTATACTTTAACATAGACTTACGGCTGGCGTAGCGCTAACTTCGCTGTGTGGAACGAGGTCAATGGCTATAACCTGATCAGGTGATAAATGTCGCCGTTGATTCTGTTCTCTGATTACCCTTTGTCTCTGCATCTACATTTCGGTAATTCGAATATATGTAGATATACATTTGCAAGTCTTTGAGTATAGTGAACTTTTCAAGTTTTTCGTGTTATAATTAACCCAACTTTTTAAAACCATTTTTTAATCATGAAAATAAACCCATCAATCGCTTTCTTGTGCTCAGATCAATCACAAAAATGGTCTCATTTGTTAATGTGCCATATCTGGTTCAAAGGTTATGCCGATTATATAGTTTTGTCAGAAATCCAATATGGCCGCCAATATAGATCATAGGACAATATTTAGCCGAACATCAAAATGCATTTACTAGCCACTATGAGAATTACAAAAATGTAAGTTAAAAAAATATATGTTTCGGTGCATGGGGAACACATGTTCCTACTAGACTATGGTGAAAACATCGATATAGACGACTGTAGCTTGGAGAATCAGGTTTCCCTTCATATATATATATGCATCTTCATCCCGCAGGCCTCCGCGCTGTTCCACAAGATACGCGAATTCAACCCCAGCCTAAACGTTGACGACTTGCACGAACTCGGCAGCATCGTCACAGGTATGTCCGAAGAAGACATCAGCAACATGCGTGATGACAAGATGAACGTCGTCAACCTCGCCGCCCAATTGGCCGACCACGAAGACGACCTCTCCCTGTCACAGGTTGGTTAAGTTATAAATAAACACGGCATGCAGCGTTAGGACAACAAACCGGGTAGAATTTTATTCATGCGTACTTGCCCAAGTTTTCTTAAATTGCAATGACAAGGTCATTGATGAACATATCACAGAACACGATATGTGTTCAGCTGAGGTGTTTGTCTGAAAGGTGAAGTTTCCGTGAAACATCCGGGCTGTGATTTACCAGACTCGTGAAGATCGGGGTAGAATATGTCTTCAGCAACCCACACTTGTCGTAAAAAGCGACTCTGCTTGTTGTAAGAGACGACTAACGGTATCGGGTGGTCAGACTCGCTGACCTGGTTCAAGCATATCATCGTATCCCAATTGCGTGGATCGATGCTCACGATGTCAATCACTGGATTGTCTGGTCCAGACTAAATTATTTACAGACCACCTTCATATAGCTGGAATATTGCTGAGTGCGGCGTTAAACAACAAAGAAACAAATATGATTTACCAACTCCCTCTTTCTCCCCAGTCTGAAGCCATGGCAGTAAAGATTAGAAATGCCTTCAACTTCGACAACCGCAACACTGTGGAGATGGATGAAACCGACGTGTTGCAGGTGGCACCTTTCCTTCAGTACCTGTGAGTGAAACTCGTCAAGTCTAACACGTGTGTCTTTTACGTGGAATGTGCATAATAACAGAGCATTGTACTAATTCTAAATTAAACAAAAGGCATTTGGTAGCTCTGTCGTGTGAGGCGCCATTAATCGCTTTGCAGAGTTGCATCCCTTGAGAGTGACAGAAAATTATGATAAGGGGTTCCTGATGATGTTAAAAGATTTGTCTTCACGTAGCCTCACGACGACGAGCACCCAGGTTCGAGTCTTAAAATGAATACAATGTATGAAGCCCGTGTCCACTCCCCATCCAACATCAACTCCCCATCCCCATTCTCATGCTCGCCCCATGCCTTTCCCAAAGCACACCCATCGCCGTGATATTGCTGGAATATTTCCCCTCACTCACTCACTCCGACATGTATATATACTAACCTTGATATTCTATCTGTCCAGACCAGAAGCCCAGTTCAACAAGATCAAGATGTCACGGCCTGCCAGAGAGGCCTTCCTCACGGCCATGAACAGAGGCGCTAAGTCTAAAATCAACCGAGAGAAGCTCATATACCTCATGGGGCAGGGAGAATCCATGCTAAACACTCAGGAATACCGAGTATGTACCATGTGGATAGACGTTTGTTATTCTAGGGGGCCTGGGATTTTCTTTTAAATCATTTGTCCCAGAAAAAAAAGAAAAATGTTTTTGCCCCAGGCTCACCATAAAAACTTGTTCGTTGATTTGTTCCAAAATGTCCTGAACAAAATGCGTTTTGGGTCTTCAGAAATATGTTCCTGCAAGGGCATTTGTTAAATATGCACACTGACAAATATGAAAGTGTTTGAAGTAAAACATATACTAGAGTCAGACCAAAACATGTGGTGGCCCAGTCGTCTAAGGCGTCGCGATTGCCTGTGCAGAGTTGCGTCCCTTGGGCACGCCGGAAACCTTTGATTGTGGGTTCGAATCCCGTTTCGCTCCGGTTATCTTTCTAGGTTTGTCAGCACCATACCCGTGCTCGTGGGTTTTACCGAAGTGGTAAACGTTTGAGACCTGGATCACGTCAGGCTTTCCTCCCACAATAAGCTGACACGCCGACTGGAAACTGTTAAAAGCGGCGTTAAACCCGACTCACTCACTCACCCAAAACATGTCACCAAACAGAACTGAAAATGCGAAAATGCATTGTGGAGAAATAGAGCATCTCACCCGAGTGTCTTTCGGTCTCAAATATATCAACACGAGTGGATAAAAGTGGAAGAAGAAGTTGTTGAAAAGGAATGTTGATGTTGGCACATTATTAAATGCATATGTATGCTGAGAAATTGAAAGTTCCATGTCAATTAAAATAAAACGACCACCGTTGACTCCAACCTTACAATGTGGTTCCCCCATGCAGATGACGGACATGGGGACGGAATGGGACGATAGGAAAGTTGCGAAGCTTGGAGGTCTTCTTCAGGGCATGCCAGACAAGGTCATCAGGAGGCTGCCAGGCTCTGCCCTGATGAGAAACATTCGCAGCTTCTCCGGGGCAGCGCTCACCAAGCTCCAGGCAGAGGCCATCATGAGCAAGGTCGAGGAACATGACTCGTAAGTACTCGAAAAACATTTCCGTTGTCTATTCTGAGCGTTGTCTAAACATTTTCTTCCGTCGTTTGGGGGATGTGGTAGCAGTAGTAGAGTGTGTGTGTTTTGGAGGAAGGGTAGGGAGTACAAAGATTGTTGTTGGTTTGATGTTTAACGCCGCACTCAGCAATATTCCAGCTATATGACGGCGGTCTGTAAATAAGCGAGTCTGGACCAGACAATCCAGTGATTAATATCATGATCATCGATCCACGCAATTGGGATCGATGACATGCATCAACCAAGTCAGCGAGCCTGGCCACCCGATCCCGTTAGTCGCCTTTTACGACTAGCATAGTCACCTTTTACGGCAAGCATTGGTTGGTGAAGACCTGATCTACCCCGGAATCTTCACGGGTCGGGGTGCACAAAGAAACAATGAAACAATGCATTTCTGATTTCAGGTCCTGGAACTGCAAACGTGAGCGACTGGCCCAGGTGGGACCTTTCCTGAAACACCTCAGTGAAGACAAGCTGAAGACCATCTGTAAGGTAAGACAAGGTCTTTGAAAAGGCTGCCGTAGTTCCGTTACATTCAGCCATTCAGACCATGCATCATGATTCCACTATACAGTAAAGTACGTTTATAACGAACACGCTTAAAACGAACTGACGGATATAACGAACTGATTTTTTGGTCCCGACTATTTGCCATATTTATGCTGTTTTTATGCGAACTACGGTTATAACAAACTAAAGTTAGTGGCCCCTTCGAGTTCGTTATAACCGTAGTTTACTGTATTAAACAAGGGAAGCCCAGTAGTCTTAGATGCCCCAGTCCACAGTGTAGATCTAGAGGTGCGCACCTATGACCTTGATTATGTTTCAAGGTTTGTCAGCACCAAACGAGGTGGGTTTCACCAACGCAGTGAACATCTAAGACCTGCATCACTTCGGGTTTCCTGTATTGTATGTATTAGTGAGTGAGTGAGTGAGTATGGTTTTACGCCGCTTTTAGCAATATTCCAGCAATATCACGGCGGGGGACACCAGAAATGGGCTTCACACATTGTGCCCATGTCGGGAATCGAACCCGGGTCTTCGGCGTGACGAGCGAACGCTTTAACCACTAGGCTACCCGACCGCCCCTTGTATGTATTAACATCAAGCACTTCGTATAAACGTCCCTATATGTACCATCCATCTGGTTCTGTTTTCAGTCCGAGATGGCGGCTGCAGCCTCTGCTGTGATCAAGGGCATGAACCGCAACGACGAGGCCAGGATGGAGAGAAGGAGGCAGGGATTTATGAGGGAAGAGACTATGATGACAACAGATGGAGAGAAGAGAGTAGTGCAGCTCATTCAGGAGAGCCTGAGTTCCGACGTGGCGACAAGGAGGAGACGGGCCGTTGGTAAGTCAGTAGAACGCACAGGTTGACAAGGAACTTTGTAATTTCAGATTCCTGTAAATTCGGGAAAATAACATCCACATTAGCGGAAATTACGTCCCCGGAAAGGGAATATTCTTGTTTATGTTATAATATATTATCTGGTGAATTGGATAACACAACCGTATTATTCTCTGTCGTGGGTTGGATCCATTATCAGACGCGTATACTTATTAAGATATTGTTTACTTATAATAGTGTGGAACCAGGGTGCCGTTGTACAAAGCGATCTTAGCGCTAAGGTGAAATTAACTCACTTACCTTAACATACACTTACGACAGTCGTAGCGCTTAGGTGATCGTAACTCACATACCTTAACATACAGTCGTAGCGCGAAGGTTGTTTAGTACAACGGCAACGTGGTTGATAAGGTGATCTAACTAAATCCCATATCTCAGGATCAGCTGGTTGCGACTACTCCACGTTTTACATTGATTATGAATCTTGGTCAGTCATATCCAATTCATGTCTAAAGGGATCTATAAACGTAAAAAGTCTGCGTGGGGTTCTGAAAATTAAACTGATATGCAATGACATGGATTTAATATTTTGAAATGAAATTTGACTCAAAATCTGCTTTTATCATTATTTAAAATTCTGTTTAATTGATACGTTAACCGAGATATTCCACTGGAAAACGAAGGAACTACAAATTGAGTGAGGAAATTTAGTTATATTCTCTACGGCTCCAGATACAGATCATTCATCAAATCTTCATCTATTTGCAGAATTGCGTCCCTTGGGCACGCCAAAAACCTATGACTGTGGGTTCGAATCCCGGTTCGCCCCGATTATGTTTCTAGGTTTGTCAGCACCATACCCGTGCTTGTGGGTATCACCGAAGTGGTAAACGTCTGAGACCTGCATCACTTCGGGCATTCCTTCCACATTAAGCTGACACGCCGTGATATAACTGGAATACTGTTAAAAGCGGCGTTAAACCCAACTCACTCACTCACTCACTTTACCTGAAGTCCGGCAGAGTGTTAAAGAGCACATGTCTAAATCATATGGCGTTACTCATAGTGATGATATATAAGATCAAGAGTTTGTGCTTAAGTCAGAAATCAACATTCCTTACAATGTATGTTTGGCAGCTGGGCCCACCTGCCACCAGATTAAGACCCTCGGGTCGAAAGCTGCCTTCCTGGACGTGACGACTCTCTCCGCCATGGATCAGACAGAGTTCCCCAACTGTCTGCAGACTCTGGGATCTATCAGCGGTTGGGAGAAACCTCAGCTCGCAACTCTGCTGGACAAGACAAAATATGTAAACACCGCATCATGCATGCCTCACTTGTCACCAGGCGCACAAACAAAGCGGGGTTTCATATCCCACAAACACAAAAGCATTTTAATTTCAATCATTGTCACCCTGTAATCCGTATACCTGCGGAAGATGCACAGTTATTATTATTATTATTATTACTAATTTTTACAGATTATTATAATTTTAATTTACAGATTAATATTATTATCATTATCATTATTTACAGATGATGATGATGACGATGATGATGATGATGATGATGATTATGATTATGATTATTATTATTATTATTAATGTACAGATTAAAATAAAAAAATGCAGCAAAGATGGTTTAGATGATCCTGTGCGTCAGGCTGGTGATTTTCCAGAAGTGAAGTGATCTTCCAGCATCTAGGCCGCCTCCGTGGTCTAGTGGTAGAGCGTCCGCCCGGAGAGCGGAAGGTCCGGAGTTCGATCCCCGACCGCGTCATACCAAAACACGTTAAAAGATGGTACTTGTTGTTACCCTGTCTGGCGTTCAGCATTAAGGGGCTAAAACAAGGACTGTTCGGCTCGGAGTCAGTATACTGTGTCTGAGTGGGGTATTCATGTTAAACTTCGGCATGGTATCTCAGTGAGCTAGCACTATAAATCGGCGTCAGTCCGGTCTAGTACAAGCAGCCACACACACACACACTGCTATATAAGTGCAATAATCTTGGACGCGACGTTAAACCCCATTTCACCTCACCTATTATTATCATGGATTATCATAAAGGACATATTGCTCTACATATCGCTGTCTTCCTTTCTCGCCCTTGGACACCGGATTAAAATCTCATTTCTCACCCTAGGTTCATGGTCCCCCCAAAACGTGGAGCGTAGAGATCGTCAGACAGGCGGGAAGCATCCTGGCCGCCCTCACGCCAGCCGAGCTGAGTCAGATCAAGCTGTTCACCCTCGATGCCATAGCGTCCGCAGGAAAACATCACCTTTTTTCACAAGAACAGGTATTTGTTCCATGCCAAGGAGGTGCACTCGTTTAGAACACCATACCAGCAACTACTGATAATTCCTGATCCTTGTATCCATGTTAACGCAAGGCCACTGAAGCAGTGACATTACACAACTGTAATGCTTCATACCACATAAAACCATTTCCATACTGATATGAAATATCTACTGTAAGCGGACTCTCCGACTATTCTCATAAGCATGTGTCTACGATTCCCTATTAAAATTTAATAGTGATGATACCAGGTGTTTATGAAAAGGTGAACGTGTCCTGCCCAACCGGTGGCACCCTTCACAAACACATGCAAATGCAAGTCAATTGAACACCTAAAAAACACATATCGTACAAGTCAAATTAGGGAATTGCATCGAACATCATTTTTGTCACTGATGCATCAAATTTGGAAATGTTCTGTACGTGTCTGACACAGAACATTTTGAAAGCTTTACGGAGGCAATGAATGTTGTAACCCTGATCAAATAGATTTTGAGCAAGAGACGCAGGCCGCTCTTTGAAATATTCATAGAAAGAGCATGACTGATTGCATCTCATAAGTTGTGAAATGTAGACACCAATACAACTGTTAATGTTTATTTTCAGTTGAGGGTTGGATTTTACCGATGGTTGAACAACTCCAAGGCTAATGACATCAGCAGAGTTTCAGCAGCAGAAATGACCTCCCTCGGCAACTTCATCTGTGCCCCCGAGCCCTCAGATATCCTGCTGTTCTCATCCTCGGCAATCAGGTACGTGTTGCAGGACCCGTGAAGATCCGGGGTAGAATAGATCTTCAGCAACCCATGCTTGCCGTAAAAGGCGACTATGCTTGTCGTAAGAGGTGACTAACGGGATCGGGTGGTCAGGCTCGCTGACTTTGTTTTTGCCTGTCGTCGATCCCAATTGCGTGGATCGATGATCATGATATCAATCACATGATTGTCTGGTCCAGACTCGATTATTTACAGACCGCCGTCATATGGCTGAAATACTGCTGAGTGCGGCGTTAAACAACAAACAAACAAGGTGTTACAGAGTATTAACAAAACAACTAGTTGGGACATCAAGGTTGAAATTAAAACAGATTCTGATTTTGTGACTAATTAGACTCAACTATGTGGATTCTACTTTCAGAGGTGCGCTAAATGTGATTGGCGGATTGAGGTCATGTGACCAAAATCAACTGCGGGCCTATGCCAGACAGACGATAGCAATCTATGGTGGAAATGTAGGCAGTTGGAACGAACCCGTTATCTCCGATATGGGAATAGTCATCGGTATGTGGCAATAGTATTTATGTATATATCATTCCTATATCCTATGAGATAGCAAAAAGGTTAGAGGGCATTATTGCTGAAATGTTATAAAAATGTATCCATTTCTGGACGAGGACTTCTCAAGGAAACTTGTTTGTCCTGTGACACGAAATACGAAGCCTAAATGCCAAACATGTTTTTCTAGTTTTGAAATGTCTGGTTTCCTGTACTTCCATCGTGCATAATAAATCATCCTTTTTCATATTACCTGATTCTTGACAACGATGAGCATATTATTAATTGATTCCTTCTTTGAAATGCATAGCCCAGTCGTCTAAGGCGCTCGAAGTGCAGAGTTGCGTCCCTTGGTCACGCCAGAAACCTATGATTGTGGGTTCGAATCCCGGTTCGCCCCGATTATGTTTCTAGGTTTGTCAGCACCATACCCGTGCTCATGGGTTCCACCAAATTGGTAAACGTCCGGGACCTGCATCACTTCGGCCGTTCCACCCACATTAAGCTGACATGCCGTGATATAACTGGAATTATGTTAAAATCGGTGTTAAACCCAACTCATTTAATCACTGAAATTTATAGATTAAAAAAAAAATTCATGAAATTGACATATTGTACTAACCCCGGGAGACAAACAAGGGCTTAACCTCCCTTCGATATCATAACTTCGGATGATATCACTCCAGATGTTTGAAATGTAACATTTACACTTTGACAACAGGTGGACTGAAGGCAAACCAGATAAGAATGCTGAGAGCCAAACAGATTGCTGTTATAAGCACAGAAGTCATTCCACATCTCACAGTTGATGTCATACAGGTAGATGAACATTTAAACTCCAACAACTCAAAGAGGTCGATTTAATATTTTAAATATATCATAAAATAACCTAGAAAACGAAATACTATTTCTGAAGGGCACAGAAAAGTTTATGGTTTCGACACCTGCCATCAGAAATCATTGGATACTTATAGGGGTGACACCAGGTGTTCGCGAAAGAGGTGAACTTGGTCCGCCCTATCATAACACACATCTAGTAAATGCGTAAGGTCGCTGTGCAATTTCCATCGAAGAACATCTTGGTGGGGATTCCGTATCAGAATAGGCCATCAGAAATCTTTGGTGGTACTTGGAGGTTGGTTGGTTGGTTGGTTTGTTGTTAAACGCCGCACTCAGTAATATTCCAACTTTATGACGGCGGTCTGTCAATAATCGAGTCTGGACCAGACAATCCAGTGATTGACATCAAGAGCATCGATCCACGCAATTGGGATCGATGACATGCATCAACCAAGTCAGCGAACCTGACCACCCGATCCCGTTAGCCGCCTCTTACGACAAGCATAGTTGCCTTTTACGGCAAGCATGGGTTGCTGAAGACCTATTCTACCCCGGATCTTCACGGGTCGGTTGTTGAAGGTGTCGTAATGGATCCGGTATTCAGACTCGGTGACTTCCTACCATCAGGTCATCATACCCCGACGGCGTGGATCGTTGCTCACATTATCTGTCACTGGACTGTCCGGTCCAGGCTCCATTACAGTAAACTACGGTTATAACGAACACGCTTATAACGAACTGACGGATATAACGAACTTACTTTTTGGTCGCGACATGCTGTATATGTACTTATAACGAACTACGGTTATAACGAACTAAAATTAGTAGTCCCTTTGAGTTCGTTATAACCGTAGTTTACTGTATTTACGTTGACGTTATATAGCTGGAATATTACTAAATGTGACGTTAAGCAAAAAACAAACAAACACTTCTAGACATGCTATATCTTACAACAACGGATTTTTTCAAAATGTTAGACGTTTCTGTAATATAAAACCTTTTTAATCATACCTTTTACTATTTATTTAGTCGTTCACCGCCACCCAAATGAACAGGTTCAGCGCAAACCAGGGTAATGCTTTCACTGAGGAACAATATCGTCATCTCTCCGCAGACAAAAAGGAGGTCGTTTCTCGCAAAGCGACCATTGCATTCAGAGAGTTTCCCGCTGGTAAGCTATAGAAACACTAGAAGATGCATTTAAATTATGGTTTTACTTCCTGTTTGCATCAATAAATGGAGCACGGGTTGCGAAATCTACGGCAACGAGATTAAATTTTTTAAAGGTTTCGTCCCTTAAGCGTACCACAAACCCATGATCGTGGGTTTGAATCTGAGATTCGCCCTGGTAATGTTTTTTTCTAGGTTTGTAAGTACCATTACCGAGCTGAGGTGTTCCATCAAAGTCGTAAATATCTCAGACCAGCATTACTTCGGCCTTTCCTCCAACATCAGGCTGACACGCAGTGATATTAACAATCTCATTAAATCAGATCTTAGTTCTCGCTATCGCTACTTAGAACTTAGATCTGATTTTAATGAGATTGTGATATTAATGAAATTATGCTCAAAGTGTGATAAAGCCATACTCGGTCACTCAGTAGAATACAATCAACTTGTAATCAAATTGTAATGAGTCTCCAAATATATTACCGCTGTGTGTTGTGTATTGAAATATAATGATAATATTTTCAGGTGCCGCTGGTCTATCTTACTTGACACCATTATCCGCCATCGCCTGTTTGATTGGTCTCTTCCTACGCTTTTAATAGCACGGTGTTCATAACACCGATATAGTTGAGTATCTTTGGTATGGATACAAATATCTTAAGAAATCTCTGGAAGAAAATGGGAGGGATGCAACTATCAAATGTTGAAAGTGCCGTGAAAACATCTTCTGTAGAATCTGTTTTGTGAATTCCAATCAAACTAGACATTCCAGAATTGTATAATTTTTTATTTACGTGTGCATTTAAAATGTAAACTGCCGGGCAAATGGAAGTATACACTTGAAAATTGGATTTGACCAAAGAAATCACGAACGTTATCAAAACGTTATATGGTGCAAACAAATCACAACTATGATACCCGCATCAAATACATCGTAATGGAACCATTTTCTTTTTGGGGGTTCATTTTTAGCCACCATCAAACATGGGTGCATACTTTCTTTTGCCCGTCAGTATACATAAAAACGTATGTTTTGAAATTTTGAAATGTTTGTGCAAGGAAAGTGCTGAAGGCACTGATTGCATACTTGCTAATTAAACTTACCTGTCCATGAAGGTATCGCATGCACATTGGCAGTGATGAAAGATTTGTTGTTTATATGTGAGTATGTCTATATTGTTTTTGTGTTGTTTATGCGACATAAACACGTTTTTATTTATCACTATAAAGTGTTTGATGGTCAACAATCGGTGTCACCATAAGCTGCCTTGTAACCCTGTTGAATCGTTATTTCTGTACCATTATTATGCAATTCAGCATATATTTCAGCCATATTACTGCAATAGTATCTAAAATAGAAAGAAAAAATGTTTAAGGCTGCTATACATCAAGATTAACATAAGCAATACAAAACGTGAATATTTACTCTAAATAATTCGACCTGTTTTGGCATTTAAAAGTAAATGCTTCTCCTACTCGTGCAATAGACATGAGAAAATGGCACTTCAATACGCACTTCACAGGTAAAAACTACAGTATTAATCGCTTGACAAATGACAATTTTGAGTAATTTTATGTCCGTGTAAGGGGGTGTTGGGGGCGACCATTTTAATATCTAGGGAATTCAGAAAGGTGTAAATCATTTGACCCCATTTAATATTGTTGTGCAATTTCTGGAACGAGAAAATATTTTTTAAAAAATGAGTAAATCAAACATAACTACATGGTACGACTTCATACACACGTTCAACTCATATTCAAAATGAAGAAATGATATTCGTATCAAGTTATTCGCCACATGTGTGAATCTTAAACATAATTGATTATTTTTCATATTTTTCAGTCTTCAAAGCACGTTTATGTGATATACGATTGTTTATGCTGGTGATGAAACATTTATGTATATACTGTGCAATTTTCATTCTTAATCCAGCCAGCCATCTCAGTTTTGCATGTCACAATTTCATATCGATAATAAATCATTGCCACCTGTCATGAATTCTTTGTCATTTCTGTGTTAAAATTAAACGCGAATTAGGCAAATGTTTTTACACAGGAAGAAAAGTAATTCGTTCCAAACTTGAACAGTACATAAATTGAAAGCTCATCCAAAACTTGCAAGTACTGCATGCATGCTGTTTGTTTTGATATATAACCAAGCATTGGATATAGTCAGTGAGTTGGTCTAACGCTGCTTTGAGCAATTGTTCAGTTATAGCACAGCGTGTCAACTCGGAAAGTCTAGGACAGCCGGAAGTGAAGCTTGGATGGATGGAATCATTCGTCACCACTCGCCCCTTTCCGTAACCTGCAAGAAGACTCGTACCCCTATCGATGAATGTTATGTGCGAAAATACGACAAACCAATCAGAATGCGCGTATGATTTCAAGTACTTCGTCAAAGAATCTCTCAGAAATAATTTTTGATTTTACATATGTCTTGCATCTAAAAATATACCCAAGACACAGTTAAATGTGTTCAGTCATACTGTATAATTCCGCACGTCCCGATGTGCTTTAAATTGCATCTGAAATACTTATAATATTTGGGGAAATATATGTGAACCATTACGCAACGAATTGACAATTGTTTTAGGTATGCCCGTTTGCGCTAAGCCGGAACCCGGTCGCAAAAATGGCCACGAGAGGGGCACGAGTCGCTATTCGGCTTGTCCCGGAATAACACGATTTGGTCACGAATGGGATGGAATGTGTGGATATAAGGTAAAACCAGGCTGACACAGATTGGAAAGCTTTGGAGTGATGAGGCTAGCTTGTTCTGTGTTATGCGCGTATTTGTGTCGTATGAACATGCTACTGTCATAGCGACTGATTTATTACTACCATTGTCTGAAGTACATTTGACTCCAAAGGCAAATTGCCCTGTAGCCATGTCTCCATAACTTAATTGTCATTACGTTTTAGGCGCTAATCCCCGTTGTTATTCCTCACCAACATTTCAATGTATATTGACTGACAGCCAACTGGGCTACTTTATCACTTCCCGTTAATTACTGTTATTTATAGTATGACATTTATTGCCTTAATTGTTCATCCCCTGAGTTGTGTCGGTTCGTCAACCCCAGAAGTCCCATGTCCAGAACAACGTCATTGTATTTCCATTGTTGTTCATTACTATATATGTGCTACCATTACACTGTTACTTGGCTGTTAGTCAGGCTTGGTATTCCGAGTGCTGGCATAGGGACGACCTCGAGCAGGATATGCTGCTCGTAGGAAACGCCCTGAGGTGAGCTGGAGCTCCGCTCACCTCTTGTACGCCTGAGCTGGAAGGTCCGCTCATTGCTGTGTTTGTGTTGTCAGAACAGGTATTCCGCTCATTGTGCAATTGTTGTTTACTGTTTACATGTTGTGCATAAAGCGTTCCGGGACAGTGATGTCGATTTTGTTCTTTACTCCCCCAAGAGCTAATTCCCCGTCAACATGCGCGTTGACACTACCTTCAGACAATATGTCATCACTGTGACTTACGAGGGTGTGTTTTCAATTTGATTCAAAATGGGAGAAATTTGTTTATGATTATTGTTATGAGGCTGAAGAGACTGTTGTAATTTTATTCGAAGTGATTGTCTGTAGCAGCAAATGATTAAAGCGCTAGTAAAATGTCGAATGTTTTCGGCTGCAGCGGGTGGAATAACCGGAGTTAACAGCCCCTGGCTGCTCACGTGATTTGGATGGGGCGTTTCGGGATGGGGCGGTAATTTAAGGCTGGCCATATCGTATTGCCATACAAAACCGGGAATGCAAAACACACAAATTCCTGAATGTGATAAATATAGCTCTTGGCGGAGAAATAGTCAGATCTTTTCATATATTTGATAAACATCTGTATAAATTATATTAACTATGTAATTAATTTCGTTATAGTGGCATTGGGCGTTATACAATGTAATAAGTCCACACATAAAACGCCAGTATCTTATGGATAATGTTGCAAGGTTTTTTCAAAATTGAAATAAAAGCGACAAAACCATGTCCATATTCAAAAGAAAGAGATTTACGATTCCGATTATATGATGAGCATGTGTTTGAGATCACTATCAAATAGTGATAATACCCGGTGTTCGCAAAATGGTGAGCGTATCCTGCCCCACCCGTGAAAAGCAGATAACGAAAACATTCGCGATTTCATCCCTGAGACAAAAAAAACATAGGCAATCGCAATCGTTGTGAAGTTTAAAAGATGAAAAAGACATATTCGTGTCAACAAAGACAGGCAGCGATAAATCACTTTCATACGAAGGTGAATCAGTCGTGGATGTTGATTTTGTGAAACGTTCTCTGATTGGACTATCGATATGTGCGATAGTCCAATCATATTTAACACAGGAAAGTGGGCTTGATGTGGCAAGGGTGGAAACAAGCTAGTGGACTCTCTTGCCTCGGGAAAATGACCCGTACTCGACACGTAGGTAACACACCGTCCAATCTGTTATATTCCGCTGCAAAATTAATAACATAACTTTACGGAAATCTATCCCGGAGTTGAAGGCATGACAACTCGGTTGGCGGGCACCATTCGTCACCACTCGCCCCTTTCCGTAACCTGCAAGAAGACTCGTACCCCTATCGATGAATGTTATGTGCGAAAATACGACAAACCAATCAGAATGCGCGTATGATTTCAAGTACTTCGTCAAAGAATCTCTCAGAAATAATTTTTGATTTTACATATGTCTTGCATCTAAAGATATACCCAAGACACAGTTAAATGTGTTCAGTCATACTGTATAATTCCGCACGTCCCGATGTGCTTTAAATTGCATCTGAAATATATATAATATTTGGGGAAATATATGTGAACCATTACGCAACGAATTGACAATTGTTTTAGGTATGCCCGTTTGCGCTAAGCCGGAACCCGGTCGCAAAAATGGCCACGAGAGGGACACGAGTCGCTATTCGGCTTGTCCCGGAATAACACGATTTGGTCACGAATGGGCGGGCACTTCACAACTGATTTATTCGGGGAACAACTCTCGCCACATCTACAATAGTCTCGCGAGAGCGTCACAAAATAACAGTACACTCAATAAGAGTTTGCACAACGATAAGTATTGATACACAACACAAACCCTTTTCATAGCCACAAGAAATCTCTGCAATAAGCTGAATCGATTGGACGATACCAAATGTATCATAAGCATGTGTTAATGAGTCACTACCAAATAGTGATGAAAGGTGATCGCATCCTACCTCACCGGTATAGGTACAGCCATATGTTGGTACAGTGTAACCAATTCCACGAGCGGTATTAGGAATGTAATCACTTACTCTGGTTGTCACCAGCACTTATCAAATACCCATGAGTGATTGAGTGAGTAGCCTAGTGGTTAAAGCGTTCGCTCGTCACGCCGAAGTGAGTGAGTGAGTATGGTTTTACGCCGCTTTTAGCAATATTCCAGCAATATCACGGCGGGGGACACCAGAAATGGGCTTCACACATTGTACCCATGTCGGGAAACGAACCCGGGTCTTCGGCGTGACGCGGCGGTCGGGTAGCCTAGTGGTTAAAGCGTTCGCTCGTCACGCCGAAGACCCGGGTTCGAATCCCGACATGGGTACAATGTGTGAAGCCCATTTCTGGTGTCCCCCGCCGTGATATTGCTGGAATATTGCTAAAAGCGGCGTAAAACCATACTCACTCACTCACTTCGGCGTGACGAGCGAACGCTTTAACCACTAGGCTACCCAACCGCCCCTATTAGTATGGGTAAGATCCGCATTGTCTTACAAAAGTAGTTGTAGATCAATGTTAAACATGTCACCTACAATATTAGGCAAGCTTGTCAGCCTAACCTGCATCTTTTTATTACATAGAACACACGATCATAAAAAATAGTTCTCGCAGGTTGAACCACACTAACAAGGCAGGGGTTAATTCATTCCAATCCAAAATAAACTGACGTCCAAAAGAAACTTTACCAGAGTTTGAAATCACTCTTGCTCAAAAACAACAAAACATACTTGCATGAAGTAAAGTGTATTGAGAAGATCAATATATCAACATAATCAACACTGAAAATGACAATCATACCGCGACCGAGAATGACGTCAGAGCCCTCCAAAGTTGGGTGTGGTACAAAACTCGAGCTTTCAGAATCATGGACAATAGGCAGAGTACATAAACATTCGCTCACGTTCAATAACAAGTCATTAGTAGCGTGTGTGACCACCAAATGCCTCAATACACGCAAAAACTCTTCGACGCAAAAAAAAAGTCAGTCGTCTGATGAGGTCACGTGGGATTTGACGCAATTCTTCTTGTTTTTTTGTTATTGTGGATGTCTGACTTGCCGTTGCAATCGTTTTATACCCTTACCCGCACGTGCATTTGCAGTTGTCCGTGGTGCACGTGTTTTTCACCTTTAAGCGTGTTATCTCGCAAACATGTAACAGACGATTAACATTTTGTGCATACACTATTGTTGTATTTAGGTTATGTGTTTTAGATAGACTTCATCGGAAAAAATTATACTTTGTCTGAAATTTATATTTTCAGTTGGTAAAGTTTCTTTTGGACGTCAGTTTAATTCAGTTGGCTATCTGCACAAGAGTAGTTTTGTTTCGTATGAGAATTTTTCAGTCTTTTTTTTATCTTTGATCTGAAGATAGCTATAGTTTCATTATATTGAATTAAATATGCTCTTGTCTCGTTCGACCCGTGAAGATCCGGGGTAGAATAGGTCTTCAGCAACCCATGCTTGCCGTGAAAGGCAACTATGCTTGTCGTAAAAGGCGACTAACGGGATCGGGTGGTCAGACTCGCTGACTTTGTTGATGCATGTCATCGATCCCAATTGCGTGGATCGATGTTCATGATGTCAATCACTGGATTGTCTGGTCTAGACTCGATTATTTACAGACCGCCGTCATATAGCTGGAATATTGCTGAGTGCCGCGTAAATCAACAAACCAAACCAAATCTTGTCTCGTTCAGTTGGTGTGAAGTCGCTGTCATGTTCTGTGATCTG